TGAACACGTGTCCTTTATTTTGTACATCAGGAAGGGGGGCTAGGGAGGGGTAAGTGGAAGGAGATGAGGGAGGAATGGGGGATGAGCCCCCAATGGGGAGGACTGGGGTGGCTCTGTGGGCTTCTCGGGGCGGAAGCTCTCCTGCAGCCCCCCAATTGAACTCCCCCCAGATGGCAGCCTGCAGCAAGTGCAGCCAGGCTGATGGCTGAGTGCTGTGATGTGTCGAGTGTGGGCATTCAGGGCACTCCAAGCCAGGACTGCTTTGCTGTCCCTCATCGAGTTAGACAAGCGAGCAGGGAACCCCTGAGAACTGTCTGTCCAGGGTGGGGGTCGGGTCCCTTTAAGCACAGCCCTCGGCTAGCCTGAGACAGCAGCTCCATGCTCTAAGTCCTAATCTGATGCCCTGCCGGCACTGCTTCTGGCCATCCTTAACCTCGGTTCAGGGTCCACTCAATGTGGACATGCTAGTTCGAATTAGCAAAATGCTAATTCGAACTAGTTTTTAGGTGTAAATGCACTAGTTCAAATTAGCTTAGTTCGAATTAACTAATTCGAATTAAGTTAGTTCGAATTAGTGCTGTAGTGCAGACATACCCTAAGCTCTTCAAGGACTATATGTATATGCAAAGCATAGTAAAATGGCGTTCTGATCCCAGCTGGGGCTGGTAGGTACTTCTGCAGTACAAATAAACAATTATAAATAATAAATAATAATAATAAATATGTTTCTCAGGACTATATAAACACTAGGTTAAGGCATGACCTGTGAAATGGCACACACCTTTAACACCAACTACGTTCAAGATGACTGGATCAATGAGAGTTGAGAGTGATTAGCACCTTATAGCAGTCACTCAGGCTATGTCTATACTGCAGGCTTTTGCTGGCAGAGTATGCTAATGAAGCACTCATTAGCATTTGTCATGCTGTCATCTGCATATCTCTGCTAATGCTTTTGCACAAGAGGTTTTTGCACAAAAACAAGCAGTGTAGATAGGTACATTTTGCACAAAAAAACTCTTTTGCATAAAATTCCTTAGAAGTATACAGGATCTTGCACAAACAGGCTTTTTTTGCACAAAACAGGCCGGTCTATACTGCTTGATTTTGCACAAAAACCTCTTGCGCAAAAAGCATCGGCAGAGATATGTAAATGACAGCATGACAAATGCTAATGAGTGCTTCATTAGCATACTCTCTGCCAGCAAAAGCCTGTAGTGTAGACATAGAGTGTCTTGCAGAATTAACCCCTTAAAGGGAAATACAAATGGCTTTTTGAACTAAGGACTGAGAAAGGGAAGGCTTTCTTGGACACAAACTGATTTAAATGTGATGAAACTAAATCCCACACGGGCACAGTATTAACCTGAAAGAGCATTTATAATTTTATTTTCAGTGCTACGTATTTCATGTAAATATCAGAAATTTCACTTGGAATCAGCTTTTTTAAATCGGGCTGTGATTTTCATTGTGAAGAAATGGGTTTCTGAAGAAGGAATGTTAATTAAACATAGACGCTGTGATAATGACAATGTGATGTTAGTGAGTAAGCTATACTTAAACACTCTTTGACCACACCTCAAAGTCTGTGCAGGAAGAAAGTTGCTACATTCTGCACATTCTGTGTGTGCGCGCACAGAAGAAAAGAAAAATCAATGCTATTTATACTTATATATGCTGGGGATGATAATTTCCTAATACTGTTATACCAGCTCAAATTGTGTTGATTACACCTGCTTTGAGAAGGGTTCAGGGTTGACTCCCAACTTTGATATACCTAGTGGTACTGAATCAGTGTTAGCAATAGAGGGAAATGCTGACAACATTTCCTGTGTAGCTAGCCCCAAAATGGCTCCACCTCTGTGCTAATCCCAATACATTAGGGGCTCGTCTACATTGGCCCCTTTTCCGGAAGGGGCATGGTAATTTTTGAGATCATAATAGGGAAATCCGCGGGGGATTTAAATATCCCCCGCGGCATTTAAATAAAAATGTCCGCCGCTTTTTTCCGGCTTTTAGAAAAGCCGGAAAAGAGCGTCTACACTGGCCCCGATCCTCCGGAAAAAGCGCCCTTTTCCAGAGGATCTTATTCCTACTTCAAAGTAGGGCGCTTCAAAGAAAGGGCGCTTTTTCCGGAGGATCGGGGCCAGTGTAGACGCTCTTTTCCGGCTTTTCTAAAAGCCGGAAAAAAGCGGCGGACATTTTTATTTAAATGCCGCGGGGGATATT